TTTTTAACTCTTTTTTTTTATACATTTACTGGATTTTTTAAAAATATAAATATGAGATTAGCATAAAAATTATTGAATTATCAGAAATATATGTTATACAAGATAAGTTTGTTTTTATAGCAAAAAAATTGAGACCTTCAATTTCATTAGAAGTTTTGAATATAAATTTCTAAAATTAAAATTAAAATTTTGTATTAGAATCTTAAATATCAAATAACTTTAAAAAAAAAAAAAGAACACTCTTTTGAATAATTTTTTTTTTTTTAAAAAAAAAGCAAACTAATTGTAGGGCTTGGATTAGAAAGAGGAGCACCATAAATAGTTTTAGTACTTATGAAAATTAACAAATTGGTACAAACAAAGAACCAAATCTATAATTCGTAAAGACTAAGCAAAGCGTCACATCCCAAAACTTATTGAGTCATCGGAAAGGGAAGTGATGTCGGAATCAAGCCGGTGGACTATGCCGGAGATGGCCGGAATCCTGTCAAATAAGATCCCTCAAGATGAACTCAAGCCTGGAGATCATATCTATTCATGGAGAAACGCCTATCTCTATGCTCATCACGGTTATTTTCCACTTTTTTTTTTCTTTTGCTTAATATCACGGGAAATCCTTTTTGCGCTTTACTCTTAGATGAACTTTCTCGATGTTTTTAATTTCTGTTTGTATCTACGTTTTGATTTTTATACAAAATGGGTCAAATTTCGATTTGATTATGTTTTTTTATTCATTCCAAGTATTAATAGGAAGGAATTTTTTTGAAATCGGGAGAAATAGCTTCAATGTTTTGTTGAATATTATCAGAAAGTACATTTAGGAGCTTATTAAAGAAACGAGACAATTTGAATTGGTAATTAGCAGAATAGTCAATTCAATTCTCGATGGAAATGCTACTTTTAAGTCTAATTTGACTGGTTTGGGAAAACTTGAATTTATGCTATAATCAACCTTTCCAAATCAAAAGGAGATTCCGCTAGGAGTTGTCGCAAGCTAATTCAGAAATGAAAGAAGTCTAACCAACTCTTATTTGCTGTGGATCTACTCGCCCGGACTTTGTGGAAGCTCTGTTTCCCCTAATTCAGAAACACAATAATAGACTTGCCAAAGTGGCTTGACTTCAGTTTTTGCTAATTATGGATATGATGAGCTTTGATGTACTTAAAACTCATGTAATGGAAATAAGTGAGTTGAATTTGTTGAGCTTTGCTAATTATGGTTATGGTGAGTTGTGCGCAAGGGCGGACCCACCCTTGACCGAGAGGTGTCAAGCGACACCCCTTCGGCAGTAAACTACATTGTATATAGAGGTCAAATTTTGGTTATATATATATATATATATATATATATATATATATATGAATGTGTAAGTATTGACAACTTTAGTCTAGTGATTAAGGGGTTGCAAAAGTTCCTAAAGGTTGTGTGTTTCAAGCGTGCGTACATCCCGCCTTCTTCAAACCCCACTTGTGGGATTACACTAGGTGTGTTGTTGTCGTATAGAATCTCCATCTGATCATTTGTGTTATGGTCTTTGAGATACATTTTTTGTCATTAAACTGTGGCAGAGGTAATTTGTTTTGTTTAATAATTTTTCTTATATTGAACTTAGTATTCCACGTTAGCAATGGAGTCTCTTACACCAGCATTGTATTGTGGACTCTCCCTACCACAAGTTGAAAGGATCTCTTTAAGAGGTTATATTGCTTATTGTCAGTCTATTAGGTTGATGCTAGTTTTACCTTTCTAGTACATAAAGAAAAGAACTTACTTTTAGTTTTGGATAAATATATATAAGGATGACTTTAGTCCTGAGGATCTCAATTTCTTTTAAGGTTCGTTATTACCTTACATGTTTCTAAAGACTCGAGTTTGGTTTTTGAATATTTTATGAAGGCTTTTCAGTTTTTAAAAAATCAACTATATATGTCCAACTACAACTCTTAACAATTTGGATCTCTGAACATTACATAAGGAAATCATTGCATTCATAGTTGGATAAATATTGAAAGAAAAGAAAATATTTGCATCAAGTATGGCAAATGAAAGCTCAGAAATTGTTATGGGACAAAAAGTTCGAAAGCAACTTTTGTTCCTGGGGCTTGGGGTGGGTGGGTGAGATTAAGAAGCTTTAATTGTGTGTCACATGTGTATTGGTACATTTTTGTTTGTTTCCTAGCTTGTTGTCGTAATGTTTCTGTATGTGCTCTGAACATTTCAGGTATATATGTTGGCGATGGTATGGTTATCCATTTTACTCGAGCTGCAGGTCAAGAGATTGGAACTGGAACTGTTTTAGACCGTTTCATATTCAGCTCATCTCCTTCACATCCCTCTGGCTCCCCATGTCCTAGATGTGGTGATCAATCAAGGACTGAAGGTGTTATCTCATCATGCCTCGAGTGTTTTCTTTGTGGGGGTGAGCTGTATCTTTTTAAGTATGGTGTCTCACCAGGGGTTTTTATTGCTAAAACTCGAGGAGGAACATGCACAATTGCCCCTTCTGATCCACCAGAGCATGTCCTGCACCGTGCTAAATTTCTCCTTCAGAATGGTTTTGGGGTTTACAACATTTTCAAGAACAACTGTGAGGATTTCGCGATCTACTGCAAGACTGGTTTGCTAGTCTTTACAAATGTCAGTGTAGGCCGGAGTGGGCAGGCAACATCCTTTTTAGCTGCCACAACTGCCATTGTTTCATCACCACTGCGCTTTCTAACTACAGGTGTTTCTGGTCTGGCTGCTGTTGGTTTTGGTGTTTACTGTGTCAGCCGGTATGTTTCTGATATTGGTGTACGTCGTGATGTCATGAAGATCCCTGTTGAGAGACTTATCCTATGCCCTGGCCCTCTGGAGTCTGAAGCTGCTACTATTACTGATATATCAAAGGACAAGGGCTCGTAATTCTATGTAAGTTGACTGCATGGATCTCATTAAGTAGGTTACTACAACATACAATGTTGTAGGTGTTGATGTTGTCATTGCTTTTGTGACTTAGGTTTGGTTATTATTGAAACAATGGCCATTTAAACTAGGCCTTGTGTGCGTTCTTCCATCAAATGAATGCTTTGATATGTTATTGTAAATTGTTTATAACAATGTTCCATGGTTCATATGGAAGACAAGTGTGTTTTGTGTGTTAACAAGATGGTTAGTCTAAGAATGACAAATTGATTGTTTTTGTGACATAGGTTTGGGTTATTTTTTCAATTCTAATAGTCTATTTGGCCAAATTTTTGAAATAAGCTTACTTTGAAAAGTGATTTTCAAAAAGGATACATATATGTTAACATAGGAATATACACTATTTATACAATATTGATGCATTACATATGTATATGTATATGACCATTTTAGAATTATTTTTTTTGTTGCATGTACAGTTACATTTGGACTAAGAAACAACAGTCTCGCGAGCCCACATTTCGTTTATTAAATCATTAAAATACTTATATAGAACCTCACACATTTTAGAGTGTGTTTGGTACGAAGGAAAATAATTTTTGGAAAATATTTTTTTAATTTTCTCATGTTTGGTTGGGACAAAAGTTTTGGAAAATGTTTTTCAAATCAACTCATTTTCCTCAAAATTAAGGAAAATGACTTTACTTCAAAAATTAAGGAAAACATTTTTCAAAAGTCTTCTCCAATTTTAAATTACAATTTTCTTTAAAGAAAAACAACAATTCTTTTTAAAAAAATTTTATTTTTTTACCCCCCACCCACCCACAACCGACCAATTCCCCCTCCCAAAAAAATAATTTTGCTTTTTTAAAAAAATATTTTCAAATTCAAATTTTTATTTTTAAACTCCTACGCTGCTCCCCCCCCCCCCCCCCACCCCCAACTCTCAAAAAAAAATAATATTTTTTTTTACAAAAATACTCTAAAGTTCAAATTTTTATTTTTTCGCTCCTACCCTCTCCCCTGCACACCCCCACCCCTGACCACTATCTCAAATAAAAATTGTTTTTAAAAAATATTTTCAATTTCATAAATTATTTTCTCTAGTAAAAATAAAAGATGTCTCTCAAAAATATTTTTCATTCATAAACCAAACATTAATCATTTTCAAAAAAAAAATTCAACTCACCAACAAACACATGAGAAAATAAGTCCAAAATCTATTTATTTTCCATGACAAAAAATGAATTTTCTATAATATTCATGTTTAAATATTTATGTTCAAAACATGGATCATGAATGTCTATAATTCCAAGAACTGTCTCTCTCATGAATGAGCCAAAATCACGATGACACCAATATGACATGTGAGATTGTATAATATGTCTTATGTTTCACTTCACATTCCCCAATTTCTAGGATCTAAGTCAAACGCTATTCATTTGTATGACCAATTAGAGTACCTCAATTATTCCATCGATTTACATTTCAAATGGATCTACAAATTTTATTTAGTCAAATTATACTTTGATATGTTATTATTATTATTATTATATCTTCTATATATTATTTTTATTAAAATATATATTATGATTATTCAGTCCTTCATCCAAGTCAAATTAAATAAAAAAACAAAATCACTTACTCTAATATATATTTCCTTTTTCTCTCATGAGATCTCTTTCCCCAAGAAAAAGATACTACGTATATAAGTTCACTATTGACTTATTATGATATTGCATGTATTACGTTTGCTTACAATCTTTAAAGTTGACAAGTGATATTGCTCATCTCTCTCAAAAATTTTAATTGCCATTTCTTTTCCTTTTAAATTATCGAAATTAATTTATTCTTTTTATTAAAGGTACTTTTAAAAGAAAAACAATTTCCAAATATCAAATTACAAAATAGAGCATTACTCTATGTTTAATACGGTAAATATGAATTAATTCAGCATACAAAATAGTCAAAGATTAATAAATAAGCTGCAAGCTGGCCAGTCAACCAAACAGATGTATCAAGTTAAGAAAGATAAAATCATTTAAGTTATCAAGTTAATAAAGATAGAAATTATTTAATGAAAATAATTACATTATTTTGTTACTATGTAATTGCTACTGAACAGACGTAGAGATTCATATTTCCTTTTTTTTCTACCCAACAAATCGTTCAAATCGGAACCCATCCGATAAAGACAAATCATATCCCAAATATAGTCTCCTATTTCTGATCAAATTCTTCAACATAAACAGAGAAGAAGAAACCCCTGCAGCAGTCAGATACTTCTTTATCAACTCTACAATACAAGAAAACCCTTTGTTTTGTTTTGGTGAGGCAATGGATAGTAGTAGATCCGATAGTGTGAACAGAAACACAAAGAAAAACGATGGTGATGATGATACCGCCCAAAACGAAGAAGCTTTGTATTCTGTAGAAAGGATCTTTGAGTCCAAAGAAGTGCCATCATGGCAGGATCAGTTAACTTTAAGGGCTTTTTGTGTGAGTTTCATATTGGGGATTCTTTTCACTTTCATTGTATTGAAATTGAGTCTCACCACTGGTATTATTCCTTCTCTCAATGTTTCTGCTGGACTTTTGGGCTTCTTTTTCATCAAAACGTGGACTAAACTTCTCGAGAAATCTGGAGTTCTTAAGCAACCTTTCACTCGACAAGAAAACACCGTCATTCAGACCTGTGTTGTTGCTACTTCCGGTATTGCATTTAGCGGTAAGTATTCTAGGGTTTTTATTTTTTTCTCTCTCTCTCTCAGGTATTTTATCAAACACATTAGCTGCAACTATTAGAATAATTAGTGTTTTCAACAATTTCTTCATGCATTATCATCGCAGTTTAATTACTCGTAATTATACTTTAATCTCATAGATAATTGTGTTTTCCATGTTTTAGATCTTGTTAAATCCGGCCAGAAAAGTAGAAGTGGATTAAAGGAGGATTAATTTAAAGAAATTCTAGAAATTAATTATATTCAGCCAGTTTGTTAGAGATTTGGATTAACTAGAAAGTTTGCATGTTTGAACATGAATTTGGGCCACGTGTATTTCTCATGGGCCCTCTTGGGCCTCCAGCCTTTGTGGGTTTTGTGTGGGTTCCACAAGGTTGACTTTTGGTGTGGTGGTCCCACATAGTTAGGCTAAAAGGTTTGTGAATGTCCTATGAACAATAGCAATAAATATTATTTACTCCCTCTTTTGGAGATTTATGCCTTGCATAGGGTTGAAAAAAACCTTTTGAAAATTATAATTAAAAAAATAAGTTGTAGATATTTTATATTTGTGTGTCTATAATTTATTTATTTAAGAAAAAAGATATTTTATAGTTAAAATATCACTTTCTCCGTTCACTTTTATTTGTCGATTATTTCAGAAATGATTTTTTTAAAATGAAACTTGTCAGTTTTGGCTTATTAAGAAAAAGACTTCTATTTTAGCCTATCAGTAAAATTCATGACATGCCATTTTACATTTAACATTACCACATATCTTTAGGGTCTTTTAGTGTGATGGATAAGAAAAAATAATGGTCACATCAGTTTTTAGTACTCCTTAATTTTTGTTCGGTTGCAAAGTGTGGGAACTTATTCCAAGATAAATAATTATTTTTGTACAGTTCATTGGATTTGCTTCATGAAATTGAGTTTATTGCAAATTATCGGAACATACCAACTACTACAAGAACAAATTAGGAAGCTTTGATTGAAAAATGATATTAGTGTAAGGTTTAACAAGAGCTTGATATTCAGAAGTTCTATAGAAAATAGTTTACTATTTTCCAAATAGAATGCTTAGTATAGTATCTCTGCTAGCTCTTGTTTGGAGAGTTTAATCAAGATAAAAACTTTTTGCAGTTTTGTTTGGCTTAATTCCAATTATTAAGAATAATAGACATGAACTAGTGTGTATGTTAACTGTGTTTGGGTGCTAACTTTGTCAATATTGAGCCTTGTTCTTCCACAACTTTTTTATGATGGAATTTCTTACCTTGAGCAATATTGAGCAACAATGCTAGCTTAGCAACAGCCTTATATTATTCCTTCATGCCTTGCGCATCTCAAGTTCAATAACTCTTAATTTCTCTTTTTCACTTTTGATGAGCAGGAGGTTTTGGAAGCTATCTGTTTGCCATGAGTGAAGTTGCTGCCAAACAATCAACTGAAGCTAATAATGCATTCAATATCAAGAACCCCTCGTTGGGATGGATGATAGGTTTTCTTTTCGTTGTTAGCTTTCTTGGGCTTTTCTCAGTGGTTCCTCTTCGTAAGGTATTTCCTTTTCTCAGGATATATGCAATGTATATACGTAATAAATTTCCTTGCAAAAGGTGAAAGCTGCTGTTCTCAGGATTTTGATCAGTTTTACTTTTTTCTTTATAATCAAATTTGTTTTGTTAATTATGTTTCAGATTATGATCATAGACTTCAAACTGACATATCCAAGTGGCACAGCAACTGCTCACCTGATCAATAGTTTCCATACCCCACAAGGAGCTAAGCTAGCAAAGTAAGCAAGTTACACAACTTCAGTAAATTCTGTCAGCATTACAGAAGGTATGCTGACAATTTTTTTGTTTCTTTTTAATTGATCACTACAGGAAACAAGTAAAAGCTCTGGCGAAATTCTTCTCCTTCAGCTTCTTATGGGGTTTCTTCCAATGGTTTTTCACTGCTGGGGATGACTGTGGATTTGCGAGTTTTCCCACGTTTGGCCTTAAAGCATATGAGAACAAGTAGGTTCTAATTAATTCCAAACTACCTCTATGTGGTAAAGGCTCAATTCCTGTCATCTCTGTAGCAATTGAAAGAGATGGTATAGTTTCGCCTTCAACTTTTGTTTACCTTGATTTAACAGTTAATTTTTTCTGTATCAATCAGGTTCTATTTTGATTTCTCAGCAACATATGTTGGTGTAGGGATGATATGTCCTTACCTAATCAACATATCTTTGCTACTTGGATCTATCCTTTCTTGGGGTATAATGTGGCCCCTGATTCAGGACAGAAAGGGTCATTGGTTCCCTGCGGATGAGAGCCCGAGCAGCCTTCATGGCTTGCAGGGATATAAGGTAATCTCTTCCTTTTACATTTAGCGCAGACAGATTAAAATGAAGCACAGTTTCAATTCTTAAAATATACTTTCCTCATAATTCTCTTCTATTGCAGGTCTTTATAGCAATAGCCATGATCCTTGGTGATGGTCTCTACAATTTCGTAAAGGTATTTGGACGAACACTATATGGTTTGTATTTGCAATTCCGCAGTAAAGATGAAGGAGCAGTCCTGCCAGTTGGTGCTCGTCCATCTCCTCCAGAGCCTTCCATGTCTTTTGATGACCAACGACGAACAACGCTTTTCCTCAAGGATCAAATTCCAACATGGGTTTCCATAGTTGGTTATGTTGGCATTGCTATCCTCTCTACTATAACACTTCCACACATTTTCCATCAACTTAAGTGGTACCATATCATTGTGATTTATGTTTTTGCACCGGTATTAGCCTTCTGCAATGCTTATGGTTGTGGTCTCACTGACTGGTCTTTGGCATCCACCTACGGAAAGTTGGCAATCTTTACAATTGGTGCATGGGCTGGGGCTTCTCATGGAGGGGTTCTTGCTGGACTAGCTGCATGTGGCGTCATGATGAACATAGTCTCCACTGCATCTGACCTAACACAGGACTTTAAGACTGGTTATATGACATTAGCTTCCCCACGGTCGATGTTCATAAGCCAGATTATTGGCACAGCAATGGGTTGTCTCATCTCCCCATGTGTATTTTGGCTCTTCTACAAGGCATTCCCTGACTTAGGTACCCAAGGTTCAGCGTATCCTGCCCCTTACGCCCTGGTGTATCGTAACATGTCTATCATTGGAGTTGAAGGTTTCTCAGCTCTTCCAAAGAACTGCCTCATCCTTTGCTGCATATTCTTCATAGGAGCTATTGTGATCAATGGCATCAGAGATCTTGTGGGAAAGAACAAGGCAAAGTACATTCCTCTCCCAATGGCGATGGCTATTCCCTTCTATCTTGGCTCCTACTTTGCTATTGACATGTGTCTCGGGAGCTTGATATTGTTCGTTTGGACAAAGATTAATAAGGCCAAGGCTGATGCATTTGGGCCTGCTGTGGCTTCTGGTCTGATTTGTGGTGATGGAATCTGGACCTTACCCAGTTCAATACTGGCTTTGGTAGGAGTGAAACCGCCTATTTGCATGAAGTTTCTGTCTAGGAATGCCAACACCAGAGTCGATAGTTTCTTAAATTCTTGAACTCCCCCCCAGTAGGTGTTTCTCATTTTCTTTTGTACTGATAGTATTATCGTCACATTTGCTATGAAATTGTTCGTGTACATATCAACTACTTCAATTGTCGAACTCAATTGAAACAGGAATTGCTATCTGAGTTGCTTCTTCCTTTCCTGCGTCAACTTTCTTTATTATTATTTGTTTTATTGGAAAGATAATATATCTCATTTCTTTACTGTTGGAAAGACCAAGAAAAATTAAAAATAAAAAGAAGAAAATTCGTTATCCAGAAGCATATATAAAAGCTTGAAAACGTCAACACGTTTTTTACTCGAGTCCTTTCCAGATATTTCTAGCTTTTCCCATATTCCCTTATCTTTTCGAATATATATGCTTAATCTTAATCCCAACAACCCCACCTTTGTGACTCTATTCTGCCATATCTCTGTTACTTCCGGGTGATCTAAGTTTCTTTAATTGCCACAAGTTTTGCAGCAAATCTGGTATATACGCAACAACTGCTATTGAAGCTAAAATTAAGGTTGTGGCTGCAGTAGACTTGCCTCAGAGAGTTTTGGTTTCGTTATAATTGTCACTAGTGCCCCAAATATGTGTTTGGTGTTTGTATGTGATGAAGATGAGAGGGTGTTACAAAGACAGGCAGCTCCAGGAGCTTGTCCTTACTGCGGAGGGATGGTTCAAGCCGTGGACATGGAGAGTCAGTGGAGATTCTGCTTTGTCCCTTATTATTTCAAGACTAAACGCAGATACTACTGTACCCTTTGCACCAGACGTCTCATCATCCAATAATTTTACCTAATCTTATGATATAGCCTCTTTGTGGTCCTTGAACTTTCTAGAAAACAAAGATGTATGATCTTTTGGCTTTTCAGGTGTAAAGGGTGTGTATGTGTTATTGTTATCTGAGTTTTATATGTTGGTTTACCATTTCTCTTTAATTATTTGTTGGTTATCTATAGATAACTACTCTGTTCTGGTTCCAAAATCATATGGTTAGAAGTTAGAATTACAAAATAAGGAAAAAGGAAAATGTACAAATTTACCTGTGATATTTGGGATTTGTCTTGCATTTTCCCTTTGTTTACCTTTCGGTCCACAAAAGTCCACATTAATGGAAAATTGCTCTGATTTTGCTGATATGAAGGAAGCCACACATGATATTATCTGTTCAAACACTTTGTCTAGACAGCAATTCAGCATAATCTTGAAGGTTTTTTAACTATTTTGCTCGAGTAAAACTTGGTGAATATGATTCCAATGAAATATTTTCCTCTTAACAATATCAACTAAATTAATCACCATAATTGAAGTATTTCCTTCTCCATTTTCCTATTCGAATCGTTATAGTGCATTCTTATTTTTCTGTAGAATTCAGTGCCTCTCTAGCTCGGGTTTGTTTCATCACAGATGTCTTTCAAGTGTTGTTATGTTTACTTTTCCTATACTTGATGTCCTTCTGTCCGGAAATGCTTTATGAAAAGGATAGATCTGTATACACAAAGTTGATGAAGATTATCTATTTATATTACATTGATCTTGCTTTCTGCACTGCATTAAACATGTAAAATCTTGTGAAGGTATTTAGTTTCTGCAGCTGTACATTGGAAGTAATTTCACCTAGGCCTCAATTAGTTCTCTAATTGGTTTTCTGTTTATGTTAACGAATGGGATATCAGTGAATTCTGAGAGTATAGCTCTAAACTCATCTCCTGTAAGAGTCTCCTTTTCCAGCAGGACATCCACTAATTTGTCGATTGCCTCCCTGTTGTTCCTGATGTGGTTCTTTGCAATTTCATATGCTCTCTCGATTATGTGCCTTACAGATTCATCAATGTCTTCTGCTAGTTTCTCTGACATTTGATTCCTCGCTAGCATTCTCAGCACCACATCGCCACTTTGTGCTGCTGGATCTGTTAACGCCCATGGTCCAATCTCAGACATCCCAAACATTGTAACCATCTGCTCAGGTTGCGAATATTGACAAGTGAAAACTTGTGAGTATTCGACTATGTTGTTTTCTTTAGTAGGTGCAACAAGAAAATGTGCTTGAGTGAATACCTGTCTTGCTATTTGAGTTATTTGTTGCAAGTCTCCTGCTGCACCAGTAGTGATTTCTGGTTCACCAAAAATTATTTCCTCTGCTGCTCTACCTCCTAAGCCTCCCACTATTCTAGCAAAGAGTTGCTTCTTAGAGATTAAGGTTGGATCTTCACCAGGAATGAACCATGTAAGACCGCGAGCTTGACCTCTTGGGATCAATGTGACTTTCTGTACTGCATCATGGCCAGGGGTCAATGTCCTACAAGCACAAGAGCTCACTCTTAGTACCTTGTCTTTTGATCACAAGAGCTCACTCCTAAACTTGTTCAGTTATTTCATTTAGACACCTTATTTAAGGGCATGGCCTATTGAACACCTAATGTTAGTTGAAAAACAAACAACAGAACAATTAAAGGGGCAAGAATTGCTGACTTACGCGCAGACAGCATGTCCAACCTCATGGTATGCTACCAGAATCTTGTTCTTTCCATCTGTCATGGTAGTTCCTTCCATTCCAGCGACAATTCTATCGATGGAATCATCTATCTCTTTTGAGGTAATCTTATCTTTTCCTCTCCTTCCAGCTAGAATGGCAGCTTCATTCATCAGGTTTGCAAGATCTGCACCACTGAATCCTGGTGTTCTCATTGCAATAACACTTAGAGACACATCTTTGTCAAGCTTCTTGTTGTTACTGTGAACTTTCAATATTTCTTCTCTTCCTCTTATATCAGGCAGTCCAACAGTTACCTGTTGAATTACAATATAAATGTAATATCAATGTTAGTGAAGTGTATCCTGGAAACTGAAATCTTTTTGGAAATTTTACATTAAAAAACTCATTTCTTACCTGCCTATCAAACCTTCCAGGTCTAAGCAAAGCTTGATCAAGAATTTCAGGCCTATTAGTAGCAGCAATGACAATGACTCCAGTGTTCCCAGTAAAACCATCCATTTCAGTAAGAAGTTGGTTCAGTGTCTGCTCTCTTTCATCATTTCCTCCACCAATACCAGTTCCTCTCTGCCTCCCAACAGCATCAATTTCATCAATAAAAATTATGCAAGGCGAATTTTGTTTCGCCTTGTTGAATAAGTCCCTAACTCTAGAAGCTCCCACACCAACAAACATCTCAATGAACTCTGAGCCAGAGAGAGAAAAGAATGGCACCCCTGCTTCTCCAGCAATCGCCTTAGCCAGCAATGTCTTCCCTGTCCCTGGTGGCCCTACTAAGAGAAATCCCTTTGGTATCTTTGCTCCAACTGCAGCAAACTTCTCTGGAGTCTTCAAAAACTCAACAATCTCTTGAAAATCTTGTTTTGCTTCATTAACTCCAGCCACATCATCAAATGTTACTCCTGTATTTGGTTCCATCTGGAATTTGGCTTTGCTCCTGCATTGTCCACAAACAAGTTAAGCATATCAATCCATTAGACATAAAGTTTCAATCTTGATCATGTTTTTATAAGTTCCCAGTCAGCATACCTTCCTAATCCAAAAGGCAAGTTTGGCCCTCCAGGGGTATTTGAAGAGCTTCTCAACAGTAAATAACCAAGCAATATCAATGGAAAAGCTAAATTCCCAAGCAAATCAAGAAGTGGTCCAATTACATTCTTTTCAGGTAGATGAGCAGCAAAATCTACATTCTTGTCTTTAAGTTTTCTCACCAATTCTGGTGGCAATCCTGGCAACTGAATTTTAACTCTCTGGACTTTGTTAAGAGCAGGATTGATCAATATCTCAGCAACAGCACTGTTCTCAAAGAAATCAACTTTCTTGACAGCACCTTGATTCAAGTAATCCAAGAATCTTGAATATGACATTCTACTTGAAGTTACCTCAACTGGTGCTTCAGTCTCAGCTCTTGCTGGCTTAGACAAAGTCCCTGCTACAAGGCTCAAACCACTAGTACTCAACAGCTTCCTCCTGTTTATTCTGGTGTCTGAATGTGTTTTCTGACATGGGGTTTCTTTATTGGAGATTTTAGGATTGTAAACATCCTTGGAGAAGTCTTGGGATTTGCATAGGGGGAACTGAGAGACAGACAAAGAAAGAGCAGTAGACATTTTGTTTTCCTCTACTTAGGCTTTTTGTGCTTATGAACTATGAATTGCAGTTTGGGAAGTTGAAGGCAGTTGACAACTTTAGATGGAGAGTTGGTAAGAATGTTACAACAATGTAGTTAGTTATATATAGGATATGAAAGGGACTACTTTGTTTGGAATTATGTTTGTGATATATATTTTGGTAGAATCAAGTATGTACTTGGTTATTCATGAAGGGTCTAGAGTAAAAGATGACTCATGGCTTATATATATTAGGATATGATGTGATGGAAAATAGAGAAGAAGCATATCTTAATTTATAATTTAATTACTAGACATTATATCAGTTTAACCATACACTTGGAGAGAAAATAGTGGTCTATTGTTTGGACAAATTCTAGTGGGCACTTCTACAGTAACTTTTGTTTCCAAAAAGAAGAAAGAAAAGTTCAAATAGTTTATCCTAGTGCCATCTAAATATAATTATTTATTCTAGTGGCAAACATAATATTTTTAAACATTCTAAAACAAGTAAGACTATTTGAATTATTCGTGACCTAATTTGATATGATATATTTTTTTTATTCGTTACTTTCATATTTCAATCATAAATTAAATTAATATTATAAATTTTATATTCAATCAAACATTCTAAGAGTAATAATATTGAAAACATCATGCATATTGCCAAACACTTGTGAATTGCGAGCCGTACATATTTTAACTATATTTTCTTGGGATGAAAAGGTGAAAAAATAAATAGCTTAGAGTTTCTAACAGATATATTTATCAGTTGGATGAGAGTGAAAAGTCGGAAGAAAGAACGGAGAGCATTGAAGAAACCTTTAAATCCTTTTCTTTGTCTCTTCTATTATTATCAAGCACTTGATTTGACGAATAAAACTGATTTAGGGCGTGTTTTGGTAAGGAAAATATTTTTTTAACGAATGCATCTTTTGTACTTTGATTTTTTATATTTACAAATCAGCGAACAAATCTTATTTTAAATTTATTTATTATAATATGCAAAATACTATGGGTGTGGGCCCTATAGGTGGATGGGGTATAGTATGAGTTGCCATTTGTGAAACTTATTTTTTTAATTTTTAAGAAACTTATTTTTTGTGAAAATATTTTAATATATTAAACAAATAAAATTGAATTGGATGAAATATCTAAAACCTTGGGTGGAGTAAGGAGGTTTATTCGAATTCCATTTTGACAAAAAATTAATATGTATATTTAAGATTAAAATTACTTTTGAAGTATTTTATATAACAAATGTTGCATTCATTCTTCTGTGTGTGTTTAATTTTTACTATTTTGAATTCACTAAATAATTTTTTTTATTTCATTGTTATTTAAAACTGGAATACTTTTTATTATAAAAAACACAATCTATTTAGCTCCGTTGACGATACATGTTAATAGAAAAACTTGAGCTTTTGAAACTATATTTGGACATAGTTTTTGGGTTGATACTTCCTTAGTTAGTTTTATGTGCTTCACAAACTGGTTCTTTTAGTACTTCAGATAGACATTTAAAAAAAGACTAAAATGTGATTCAAAAATATAAGCTTAGTACTAGTAATGGGGTAGACGAAGAAGCTTTTATAATATCGAGAAACGGACAAAGAAACTTTTCATGTCTTGCTTTATGGCTTAGTTGACACTGTACGAGGAGTTGGAATTTTAAAATAGCAGTCATTCGAACTTTCCGGTATTTACTCTTCTTCCGTCTTTCCACGAAATAAAGAATGGAAGAAGCAAAAAAAGAACTGGAAATTTTAGAAACTCAGCATCCGAACAAGTTTGAATATCTCAAGTTGGAATTAAGATCCTTCATATCTTTTCTTGAATCTCACTACTCTCACACTCTTCCTTCTTCCTCCTATGTGGATACTCAAGGTAATTTCTCTTGTCTCTGTTTCTCTACTTTAGTTTTCTGTGTGCTGATGTTGAGTTTTTGGGGACTTGTATAGAGTCATCAAGTAACAGGAAGAGGAAAAATGGAAGCTTTGCTAGTAAAGAAGAACCTAAGAAGAAGCTGCAAAGGGTGGGACAGGATACTGTGGGATGTAATAAGAGGAGTAGGATTGATGTTGTTATGGAGAGGGCGCAGGCATGTCTACGAAAAATTCAACGATTCAAAACTAGTAACATGTGATTTTCTTGTAAATGCATGTATAGTTCGAGTAGAAAACAATGAGTTCAGTTGGAATCAGAGGATGAGATGAAGAGTTGGTTCTTGGCTTATGTTTAAACCACTGTTGGAAATTTTGTAATGATCTTCACCAATATCATGTAACAGCATTGAAAATGTTTGTGTAGTAAAGAATGACACACTGGCCAGTGGCTCCTTGTGTCTCTATGCTTGTCGTTATCTATATACTCCTTTGGGTTTTGGTGAAACTTTTCTGATGCAAAAGAAGCATTATTGATCCTGGAGGGGGGCTCAGTGAGCTGTCACCTCATCATAAGGTGAAGATCCTGCATTAATAAGTGCTCAGTTAAAAACATATGTTGCATACAATCCTGCCAAGAAAAATGAACTCATATAGCGCCCATTGTTCTTTACTTGTTTTTTTGGCATTGAGGTGGATTGGTAGGATAATATACTGATTAAACTATATTTGACATTTTAAGAAACACCATGCATACTGTGGTGGTTTGATTTAAGGAATTTAAAGCATGGTATGAAAAAAGAATGGAGGAAGAGTGGAATATCATTTAATATCAAATGGTGCATTATTTCAAAAATCAAATTTACATTCTTCTTCAACTAATAATATCAGCTTTCAACTCACTCGTCTGATTAACTCATACATAAGGATCAATGAAGGATCCACAAGAGTAAATTTTTTTAATAAACATGGTATCCAGATCGCATCTCTGATTATTTCACTTGGTACCTGCTATCTCCTGCCAGCAAGGAGACCAGGTAATTCCATCCAACAACATCGGGCAGATGGAGAAAAACTACTACGGTTTTTCTTCTCTGCTAGAATTTGTGGGTAAAGTACAACACAACTGCAGAGCACAACACCAAAGTAAAAGTGATCATTTTCCGAGCAAAGTGATATAATCAATGACACTAGTCCTGTCTACATTTTAGAAACTGAAGTCAAGCATCCATCTGAATTGCTACACTGAATGCTCAGATCCCCTTCGCTGGCTTTCCCACCTTCACAACTGAAAAGAATCGCGCGGAAAGTTCAGAAAACAGGACACTGCAAGCATAACAGCCTGTGTTTCGGCCAAAGATCACAACCCTAATAAAAACAACTCTCTTAAGTTATCAACTAAACATTCACTTGCTCAGGTCATCCATCCATCACAAAGCCGCACGTCTCACAGCACTGTTACAATTGTACAAGGAGACTCGGCCTTTTCCTCTGAGGCAGATCTCTACGCTAATTGGTAGATAATTAATCCCCGCTGACAACAATTTGAATGTTATACATGACCCATCTCCCTGAAGATAAACAATAGGACAAAATCAATAAACCAGATATACAGCTTCTAGCTTTTTTTTCTTTAACATGGAAAAATCAAGACATGACTGCTAGGACTGTTCTGTCAATGAAAGGTGGATGCACATGGATATAATATCAGATAATACTTACATTTGTCTTCCAACGTGAACTAGCTATATATGCAAACTCTCACAGATCAGCCAACCTACCATCCCACTGTATTAGTTGAAAGGTTGCTAAACATCAAATCGTTGACCTTAATTTCAGATACATGCAGGGTGTGTTTCATGTGCATACGAGTCTTTGCGTTGCATTGGTTTTCAGTAAGTTAAGTTAGAAAGACCTCAAGTGGTAAGATTAGCTTTCTTGATAATAAACAGATGATATTACCGTGTATAGCCATGAGATATATATTACTTGCTTCTGCCTCTATAACATATGTTGGGAAGTCAGGAAAAGAAAAGAGGAAGTTCAATTTTTTGATAGTATAAAAACATCTGCTCTTTCTGGACGTTGTAATGAAATGGGTCTGAGCCCTGAGGAGAGTTGAAAGGATATAGACGACTAATATAGCCAATCTTAAATAGTAGTTTGGAATTGATGCATAGTTGGTTGATTGGGCGACAACATACTGGAATGTCATGGACAAGAATGTCGTGGTCCATCAGAAAGTAAAGTGAAAGCAATGTTTGTGCTTTTGAATGAAAGGCTTCCAAAACACCTGATAAAATGAAGAATATATAACTTGTGGGCTCAATCCTTACCTCTAATTTCATTTGCTAAGAATTTGTTCAAGTCTCTTGACTTCTATGATCCTTTCCATCAGGCCTTTAGAATTGCAAAGCATCTTGCATTTATGGTACGGATAGTAAACTAATCTTCATCTGAATCAGTCTTCAGCTCCTCAGTGAAACCGTCTTCCCCTTGGTTCACACCTGTTGGCTCAGAATGACCTCTAGACAACCCTCGCCGTCCCAAAATAACAAGATCAAGAAGCTTCCTCCTAGCCTCATACACTGCATTGGGTTCAATCAAGCATCCCCTTTCATAAGCCTCCCTCAAAAAAACTGTATGCCGATACCCTTTTGTCGAAAGATAAAATATCCCTGGATGATCCAAAAACAAGTCCCTTACATTCAAATCAATCCCAAACCACTTCCTAAAATGACTAATCTTCTCTACCTCAACCATTTTCTCAACTGTCAAACTCAAAAACTCGTGGACAATACCAACTGCCCTCTTCTCCATCTCCATCATCCCAATCTTATTTTTCCTCTTCTTTCCAATATCCACAGCCTCATACGGCCCCACATACTTCAACTGTTGCCATTCTTTAACCTTTGCCTTAAAACTCCTCTTCAACTTCATCCCCGGTGGATAACAATGCTTAAAACTATACAAAATCTCATTCCTATCAACCCCACAATCCTCTTTACAACATTCCACTACCCTCCAATTATCAACAGCAGCCACTAACTCCCCCTTCGGTATATCCCCAACAAGCTTCAACAAATGAGTGTTCGGTTCATTCCCACTATCAACAAGTGCAAAAAGGTCAGATTTTTTCAAGATTACACTTTCCTCAAAGTCATCAGGCAACCCAAGTTCCCTAAAAACCTTGAAAATGGCTCTAAGGGGCAATGATTTAGTCACTGACATCGACAATAAACGAACCAAACGGGTTACTACAAGTGGTAAAGTAGCATTGATAGCTGTAGCTTCGTGTTGGGTGATTTTGAGGGCGGTTTCCGTCAGTGTACAATAAGGTTGTAATTTGATAGGGTGGTGGAAAATGTTGAAGATGTGAGGGTACTTACGGAGGAAATGGGTGGCGCCGCGGTTGAGATGGAGGCGCTGGGATAGGCGGTTGAGGAAATCGAGGGAGACGGCGGGAGGTGCGGCGGCGTTGGTGGTTGTACCGAGGATGAGGTCTTGTATTGCGATTACTTTGAAGAGGTTTTTGTACTTGTCCATGAGTTTTTCGAAAGTGGGGTCTCGGTTTCTTGAGGCTACGTATTCAGCTGAGGTGGTTTTCCGGCGGAGGAAGACGGTGGTGGGTGGTTTATGGTTTAGTTTTTGGAGGAGATGGGTCAGCATGGTTCAAGAAGTGAAACCAAATTGCAATTTTTATTTTTCTTAAGTCAAATTTATTTGCCCAATTATTAATAACAAGTATTGTTTGGAACAAAGAACAAACAAAAAGAGTATATTAGAGCAAACGTTTTGTATTTTAATAAAAAGATAAAATAAATTTATTAAAAAAATAAACCGTCTCAAGAATTTTATATTTCAACAATACATTATTGACTATTTTCTGTATCTGGATAAACTATCGATCTACTTATATAAACACATCTTAATATTCAATTGTCTAAATATTAAAAATTGATTGACATTAAGTATAGAAATAAAAACCTTGAAAAGAAACAACAAAACAAAGTAAGTTAGAGCAAAACCTTTTTATATTTTAAATTAATAAAATTTATGAAAATTTTATAACTTTTTTAAAAACTTCGTATTTCATTATATATTATTTTATATAACTAACTAAATTATTGGTCAAACTCACATCCAAACACACTCCATATAAATTGTTTAAATATTAAAAATCAATTGACAACAAGTGTTGAAATTTCTAAAAAAAATTATAAAATTTTCACAATCCATATATTGAAAATCAATTAACAACAAGTGGTGAAAATTTATAAGAAAAGATCGATCTCACATGACATTTATAATAGCTAATTGACCCCTTTTTAGTTATTTATTTATACAATTTCACAATAAATCTTAATATTTTATTAAATTCCCCAATGAATAGTATAACTCTACAAAATCTTAAAATTCTACAAAATCTTATTTTCTTATATAACAAAAAATAAATTGAAAGCTACGCGTTGATCTACGTTGAAATTGAAGGTTAAAAGGGGTAAAAGTTAAGATTGAGTGCTTTTAACCATATAATTCTAATTTTTGAACTTTAATTTGATTTTTAATCCTTTTTAATCTTTATCCATTTAATTAAATAAAGAAATTCGTCTAAAGTCTTCCAAACTATACTTGAAATTTCAACTACACACTCTAACTTTATCGAATTAAACCACATGCTCCACCGCTTGTGCAGGCCCCCGTCAATTCCTTTGAGTTTCGGTCTTGCGACCGTACCCCTTCAACTGTTTAAAATTAATATAATTTACTCCCTAAACGCTTATGTGCGCAGTGAGTCTGTATCTCAGTCTCTCAAAAAGAGTGAGGATCAAAACAAATAATAAAATTTTATTTTTAAATTTTTTTCCCATAAACATGTGTATTTTTAATTATTTTTTTTCCTATTTATTTCATTTATTTTTCACAACACCATAAACTAAATCTCTTCATCACTCACCCGAGTTTGAATTAACCATGAAATTTCATTATTCTTTTTGATCCTAGAATTTCGTTTATTCAATTTGTGCATGAAATTAGAAGATTTTAAAAATCAACTATTTATTAATATTATTAAAATTGATGATCATCATTCCTAACCACATGGACAAATAGGTTAGCAAATTCTTATATTGATTTTTGGTGCCATAATTTAATAATTTAAATTCAAGTTCAGGAAGAATTTTGGGTTGTCAATAAAACTCATATGTGAATTTGAAAATAGAAATGAAAAGATCCATTGTTATGTATCCATTATTTCAATTTGAAGAATTTAACAAATTCACCCATGAAAATAACTTGAGTATCAATCAAATGATGAACGAAACGGTTAAAAATAAAATTCTCGCTAAATTGTACCTTTCAAAATTGATAAACGAAACAAGATACGATTCAAATATAAATTTTCTGAAACGTAATAATTTAAATATATTTTTAATTCATAGCTCAAATTTTTAATATACATCACACCAAAAACCGAATAAATAATCACACATACTAATAAACATATGTACATGAGATATGTTTACAATATAGTATGGATTAGAAGATGTTAAGATACTCCGCATTAATTTGACACAAAATGATTAGCAATCACAATCAAGACTATTATAAAGTAAGATTAAGAAAACATTGAAATAACAATTAAAAGTTTAAAATGTAATGATCATGATATTTAAATCCTTAAATTAATTATTAAAATTTAATAAGTAAATATCTAAAAAATTATTAAGAAGTAATAATATCAGTAATTTTTATACATATTATTTGTATGTATCACATTAATAAAAATAAAAGTAAATTATTTTAAAGTAACATAAAGAATATATATACATACGATATGTCTGCATTAAACTTTTTATCCTCATATAATTTAAATAATATAAAATTTATTTTAATTAGGAAAATATGTGTATATAGGAAACTTGGGAGGACTATTGGTTATTTTTCTTTTCGTACACTATAAATACATGACCCCTTTTTAATTTCTTTTTGTCCATCAAAGGCACTCAACTTTCTTGAAATACTTCGATTTTCTTCTTTATACCGAGAAAAAAAGCTCCGGTGCCGGAGAAGAAATCGGCGGCAAACTTCCATCGACGGCGCGTCCTTGGTGTACATTCTTGAACAAGAAAATGGTTTGGGGCCTTTTTCCTATTGATCCTCTTCCAGGTTCTATACAGGCTTCTCTTTACGTGTTGTTTCTTTCCTTAAAAATTACATGAACCACTAGAAGTTCACTTAACCCAGTAATCAAGAAAGCAATGATACTAAAAGTTCACTTGACCTAGTAACCAAGAAAGCAGTAATACTAAAAATTCACTTGACCTAGTAATCAAGAAAGCAATGGTACTAAATGTCACTTTTAGGATTGATATTAATTATTAATCAAGAAAGCAATTATTTAGCCCTCTTTTTTCTCTTTAAGTTTATGGAATATTAAGCACTCAAAAGGGTGTGACCAGTGATCAATGAATGAAATATTAATACCTCAAAAGGGTGTAAGACCTAGTGATCAATGAAATGGGAGGAGAGGAGAACCGTGATGTTTCAGGTTTAAAATTGCAGTGGAGGCAAAATTAGATGATTTCTTCCTGCATAAGCCATTGTGGGGCTGAGTTATGGTACTTGTGCTGTGAGTCCAGGATTATGTCTTTGTTTATGTTATTATGCCTATATTAGGTTTGGTCTGAGTAGAGGCTTGTATTTTTGTGTAGCACGATTTATAGAAACACTAGGTTTAGAGAACCTCCAAGTTTGTCTTAAAACACAAATTACACGTAGGTGTCTTGGCATAACAATAATTAATTTATATGAAAACCATGCGAGATCAGATTCAAATACTACTACTGGCAGACGAGGTTACATGATTTGTATGTAATTGTGTAAGTGGCACCTGTGCCACTGGGAGGTATTAGGTACCTAGTAGACTCTACTTTTTGAGGTGTGCGCATGTTGGTCTGGGGACCACCATATGTAAAGACAAATTCATTTTGTAGTATTGAAACCGAATGTGGCTGGATAAGCAGGATGGATATATAGATCAATATAGCTTAGACCCTACTAGTTGGGCTTTGAGGCACAATTGATTGAGGACTTATGTCCCATGAATAAACATATGCACGAACAATCAATTGTGTTAGTTATAGTTACAACACTACATTTCATGTATGAGCTAATTTTACTAATGTTGAAAGTTGAAGCAAGTCGTCCATGGCTTTTATTGATCGCATTTTGTTAATGACTTCTGTTGGTTTCATTTTAGACTAGAATTCTGGCTGATTTATCATGTTATTAACTTTGCTACTATCAATTGCTAATACACTGCTCTTTGTATATGCGGCAGGTGAAGATAGTTACTATTTCTTCAACGAAGGTACATATAAAGTGGGTCGAAAAGGTAATATTCTCAATTACGTACTCTCATAAAATCTCTCATAAAAAAAAATAGTGTCAAAAAAAATATGTACTCTCTTAAAAAATCTCATAAAGTTTTCTTAATATGTTTACTAATTCATTACAAGGAGTAACTTTTGAGTTTCCTCTCTTAGCTTGGTTACTCGCACTGTCACTGCTTCCTTTTTTGATTAATCTTGTTGATGAGATGACTTATATGTCACAATTTCTGATGTGATCCGTCTTCAGTCCAAGTTGTGGGTCATGACAATAGAGCATTTAACATGCCATAATTGGTTTGCTGATGGTCTGTTGTAATTAGGCTTAAAACATACTTTTCCTTTAACTGGTAACGAAATTCCTTCAAGACACACTCCTCCTTCACAGGCAAATTTTTACACACCGCGCTTGCTCAGCTGGCATGCATATTTTTTACCAGCTAATGAAGTGCGTGAACAAGGATTTTGCATCAGATGTATTATTAAGTAACATGTGTCAAAGTTTTATTACTAGTTATTTTTATCTTCTTCCTTACTTAGACCCACATTACTTCTGTCATGGACTTTCCTTAAATGTATTGTTTCACAGGATGTGATGTCATTGTCAACAAGGATAAAGGAGTTTCAAGGATACATGCAGAAATTTTAGTAGATGAGATGATTTCTTTGGATCAGTCGAAGAAACCCTCAAATATTCTGTCTAAAGTACGTGTAAGAGACTGCTCAAAGTATGGCACATTCCTCAACAAGAATCTGGATTCGAAGGAGAAAGTTCATGAGTTTCCAAATAAAGAAACGATGCTCAAGGATGGCGATCTAGTTTCATTTGGAACTGGTAATGCAACTTACAGGTGATTGAAGTTACATGTTGTGATTCTTACCTCCTACATAGTATTTCTTGTTAATTGTCCATCAATCCTATTGAACAAACATATTGATGTGATGATATTCATCAAACAGATTCTCTTACGTATCATTCATATTTTTCATTTGCTCCCCGAAGCATTCAAAAACAAATCAACTTATTACAAAGAAGGTTTCATCAATAGGTGAGTGATCATTTATGCTATGTACATAAAATATATGTTCAGACAGTTTATGCACTTTTGTGTTTCAGGCTACTTATAGTGTTACCAGTGTGATCTGTTGAATTCTTGATCTTGTTTAATTTTTTTGCTGTGCTAATTTCAAAATATTGTTTCCTATCCGGTGGAAAAAATGATGAATTTTAAAATAAAATAAAGATGTGATGGGAATTATACTAGTCTTTGATGCACAAATTGTGGTTAAATGACGAATACAACCAATTATTTTATACCTATTTTCTATTGGTGTTGTGGTCA